CCCTGCTACAAAGCATTCCCCACGAGGTACTTTTCTTGTAGCGAAACCCAACAGAGGGATGCTGCATATCTACACCACCGAGGGCAGTGTCAATAGTTTGCCCTGCTCCAGTTGATAGATGTTTCGGCACATCTCGATTTGTGCGTGTCATCCTTGGTCAGGGGCCATGCTTTGATAGATGTTTGAGGAATCACTGATCGAACTGGGGAGACTGTGAAGCGATGAGCACTTGAGCCTGACCTCAGTTCCCGTGCAACCGCCAAATCCTCCGCCAGATGCTCCTTGAACACCCGGAGTCTCTGCACCAGTTTGCAACTAGCAGGTACAATCCTTCAGTCCAGGCCGCATATCCTATCCAACGAGCCCAACACCTGGGTTCGGATCCCGGCACTGCCGACTTGGGGACGACCCGCATTCCTGTGATGATGATGAGCTATTGCTACTCTACCCCCTTAGAACTGTAATAAAAACAATATTTTTCATATTCTCTTGGGTTTTTATATGAACAAAAATAAAAAACAAGTCCTAAGGAGACTATATAGGCTAAGCCGGACAAATAATTTCAAGTTGAGAATCTGAACCAACCAGTATGCCCAGGTGCTTGCTCGGGTTGCTTGTACTACAAGATAAAATCTCGGAGCCCCAAGACGTAATACAGGGGCCTTAGTAATTACAATACGGTGGGGTTTTGGGGTGCCCATGATACGAGAAGTACAATACGAAACCCCCCCCCCCCCACAATGGTATTGGTAATGATTTAGGCCGTCACACTAAACCCTTATAGTAGCCCGTATAGTAACCCTTAAGGACCCTTTATAAGAACCCTTCAAAGGAATCCTATGATTTAGATCCGAGCAGTGTCCTGCGACTCGCCTGGCAAGGCCCAGCTTTTGGTAAGCAGAGACAACCAGGGACTAGGACCATCTTTCGTCATCGTCCCCTGCTTGCCTTGGCATGGACAGATCCAGCAACCCTCTCTGTGGATCTACCAATGGATCACGCCTTCGGCCCGTTCATTTCAGCGGAGCATTCATCGCCAAAGATTCATGGACCCACAGAGAAAGGCCAGGATTCGCCCTCCCTAATCCGCTGGAAATGAAAAGGCAAGGTGAGTGGCTGGAAAGTCAAGTGGCAGCGGCAGCAATCACCAAACACTCTGCTTGAGATTGCATGCAGCACGGGGCATGCTGATGGATTCTCCTTGTTGATGCCTTCTCACAGGATTTTCGCGAAGATGAAGATTATGAGTTGCAGGTTTGCAAAGAAAACTCGTCCATGATTGAGGACTAGCAGCACCAGCAGCGGCAGGAGTGGTTGTAGTAGAAGTAGTTGTTGTTGTCCTAGTTGCAGTAGTGTTTTGTCACCCACATGGCACACTTGTAGCAGCAGCAGCAGTAGCAGCAGTGGTAGTCGTAGTAGTAGTAGTAGCAGCAGTAGTAGTAGTAGCAGGAAAAGTAGTCGTCGTCGTAGTAGTGGTATTATTACTATTATTACTAGTAGTAGTCGTCGTCGTAGTTGTAGCAGTAGCAGCAGCAGTGGGAGTAGCAGTAGCTGTAGCAGTAGCAGCACAAATACCGCCGCAGTGCAACAGCAATGTGAAAGCTTTCAGACATATCTACTAGTACTAGTTGATGTCATACCCATCAGCCCAGCAGCATAGCTCAAAGAAAGATTGCAAGCTAATCTCAAGCATGCTGTAAAAAGAGCTGTGTGCCTCGTGGGGAAAAGACACTAGAAACACCGACTACGCACCTGACAAGAACAAGCCGGATAACATTCGTGACCAAGCCCAAAACAAATTCAAGACACGCAAGATCTTCACGTTCCCCAAGCGCGCACACGCACAGACACACGCCAACTCTCTGTCTCTCTCACCACATACAAGCGCCACAGCACTAGTTGTCACCGACAAGCTGGGCAGCCGAAGCAGCAGCAGAAGCATAGCGGCAGCAGCAACAACAACACAAGAAGCCGGACACGACAGTAACAGCACTAGCTGCAAGCACTCCTCGAAACAAGAGCAGTAGGAGCAATGCAGCGTCCTGCACGACGGAAGTAATGCAATCACCAGCACTTGCTGAGCCGATACAGTGAACAAGAGAACCTACACGAGCATTTACACGAACGCACGAATTCTTAAGATTGTTTAACCATTGCATGTACTCATGCTGGGCGCTTAGAACTCGTCGATACCATTGAAACGATATGTGTCATTGCCATTGTTCTTCCTAGTCATCAGCATTAGTGACACTAGTGTTGTTGTTCCTGTTTTGTGGCTCTGCATCCAGGGCTCTGCGTGCCATGCCAACGCTGTCAGCGGGGCAGGCGAAAAGCAGAAGCAGAGCGAAGGACTTCATTGTCATTGGGATTTCTACGATTTCTACGGACTATACAAGGCTGAGCGTGGCCCTACCAGCTGAGCCTGAGCATTGCGGAGTGGAGCAGACAGCTCAGAGCCACTGTGCAGAGATTGATCATGCCTGTCAGTGCTTGCTCTTTGTGTATGCTTGTCCTCCATCTGCGTATCTCTGAGGACAAGAATATATATATATATATATACACACACAAAAAAATTCTAGGTGTGTGTGTATATATATATATACACGTATTATATACATAATTACAAACATGTATGTATCTCTCTGTCTCTCTCTCCTTTTTTCTGCTTCTGCCCACAGAGGTGCTATTTCTGTTCCCTCGCGGTGTCTCGCACTGTCCCTCACTGCCTCCACCTCCCTCCTACCGTCGTGATCACTCCGATCAAGAGACTTTTTGGGATGCCACACAATTTCTCACCATCACGCACAAATTCTGCTCGAGCAATGCACCCCGTAACCAAACATATCCTCAACACTCCCAACCCTAAACCCAAAACCCTAAATTACTGTAATTATAGAGCTCTGATGGCTGGAGGGACAGGCTGGGACTTTCATCGGAACCCTACAGTTGATGCTAGGCTAGGTGTGCCCATTGCAAATGGAATCATTCCTTCCCACTGGCAGTACTACAATCAATACTACTAGTATTCCGAAAAATTCGTTCAATATCTTCGCATGCAGAACCATTCGCTTCGTGAGGCAATGGGCTTGGGTAATGCTAGCATGCACGACGACTGCACGTCTACCAAACGAAGGAACACTATCACTGGTAGTACGCTAGCATGCACGACGACTGCACGTCTACCAAACGAAGGAACACTATCACTGGTAGTACCACCTAAAGTTTCCATTGTAGCTCTTTTGGGGTTACCATATAGGACCCTACATCTGGTATTAGTGAAAGCAACAGAGTATCACCACTATGGAGACGAGACTATAACATAGGGGCCTAAACAAATACCACACTTTAAACCCCGAGCCCGAAACCGTAAACCCCAATACTACGAACCCTACCTGGACCCTCCAGCTACCATCTCTTTGACTCTAAGTACCCATTATTTGGGACCATATAGTGGCTATAGTACCCCTGTTTGAGGGTACAAGGAGGTCCTGGTAATCTGCAAACACCAACCTAAGGTCGTGCGGACTGGGGCTCTGGAGTTTGGCAACGTGGCAGATGACACGTCAAATCTTCGGAGGCAATTCCAAAAGCCAATACTCTCGAAGTCTGAGTAGTCGGGATTTGTAGTTCTGTGCATTTTTGCGAGATTTGTAGGAGTCTGGCAGGGGTTTGAATGTGGTATTGAATATAGAACCATAGGCTCTTGGCGGTTCCTATATTAAACACTTAAATGCATCTAAAGGCGTCCTCACGCTCCTGCAGAACATCATGCCGTTAGCTATTCAGGTCCCCATGATACACGTCGCAAAGCCTCACAAACCCCAAAGGCACTACACCATGCATCAGAGCACGCCGTCTGCAACGCCAAACCCTGGAGCGGAACTGTCAGCACAACTCAAAACTCAACGAAGCTGTTACTTTAGAGCTCGGGGTTTAGATGGTTCAGGGTTTAGGGTTTGAAGGCCTTGCAAGCCTTAAGCCTTCCAGCTCGGCTCCGCACGGATCGCTAGGCGGCTGCGGGTTCCCGAGACCGCGAGTAGCGGTGTTTGAGCCACGTGTCTTCAGAATGAGCTACCTGTCAGAATATTGTTTATATATGGCCAAATCAGAACAAGGACACCTAGCATTGACGTTGCATAGTGGAACCTGGGATAGAGCAGAACATCATGCACCGGGCTTCGCAGGATCTTACAATCAGAGAAAGGGCGTTTTGTGCCTTCGGGGTTCTGTGCAGTGGGTACTCTTTGGATCGCATGCAAACTCGCACCGACGTTTCAGGCAATGAACAACTGAGCTACGATTCTCGAAAGACTAGGTGTAGGCTCACGATGTTCTTGTTGCACTCACAGTTGGAAAGGATGGCGAAGACTGTTGCGATGGTTTCGGGGTGTGTGTGGCTGCTAGGGGCAAGCCTTTGTGGTGTTTACATCACGCAGCTATACTTTTGATGAAACCGCATGTTCTGCCATTGCACCTGCGTGACCACAAGAACCTGCAGCCACGAGTCACGTAAGTCATGTGCCTTAATCCTTAGAGCAGGGTTTGCGGCCCATTATACTACAATCATACGAAAACAAGGAACCCCCAAAATAGTATGGGCAATTGTTTAAGCATAGTAACATGCGCAACTAAGACTCTCCAGCAAGTAACCTGTTTCCTCTTGACCATGGGACGTCAAACGGATACTACTTGGAGTAAATCCCACAGCATGGCAGGGATCAAACAAGTATGATGATTCGCCTTTGGTCATGTGGTCTTGAGGTACGGGGGGGGGGCCGTCGTTTTGACATTCCTCCGGAAGTTAGAATGTTGGAAAGGAAACTCGAAATTCGGACACTTCAGCAATCAAGGGCATCCGAGGTTGGGTTGCAGGGGCTACCCAGTCCCAGCCCTAAACACCCAAAAAGAAACCCCCAAAACCATCTAAACCCTAAACCCTCAACCCAACACCCCAAACCCTACGTTCCAAAACCTAAGCCCAAACCCGGCGGCTGGCGGACCATCCCGGTCGGCAAACCGGCCTTTGGGAGGTTTAGTCTCAAGGCTACCACGTAGCGGGTTCTCCCCCCCCCCTACCTGTGAGCATAAACAGTAAACGTGTAGGCAAAGTAGGTTTGTCACCCACAGGGTTTGATCAAATTAGGAACACCTGAGGTGATCCGATAAGTGAGGATTGATGTTCCTGATGTGTTGGAAATCCTTGGTGCAATGTGGGGTCTGGTCTTAACTGCGGCTCTTTGCGACCCTACCCTACAGGAAGCGTATGAGACTCTGCACAAAGGGACGACCGTTTAGAGCGACCCCTACTGAAGACAGCAAGGAACTCATGGACTGGCTGCTACTGCTGGTATCATCACGACTCTTACTACTATTGCTCTAATGCCTATTACAAACTCAATGTGACTATGGCTACCATGAGAGTTACCTAAACATCTCGGCAAGACTTCGGGTCACAAGTGCGTATAAGCAGATGTGCAGTCATTTGGCGGACCTGCAACAAGCCAAACTGCCAGCAATAAGTGGGGCCGAGGATTGTAGAGAGCGAGGGGGAGGAGGGAGAGCGAGACAGCAGGTATGTGCGTGTGTGTGTGTGTGTGCCTTGAGGCGTGTGGCTGCGGTGGTAATATGTTGTTGACGCTTACCAGTACCTAGTTCATCGAAACACACCTGTGTAAGTATGTACATAGGTGCTTACTTATGCAAGCATGCATGCTTGGTTATTGGTGCTGGCACGTGGCTTTTGTTCAGTTTGACAGGTAGGGAGAGTTGTTTCACGTTTGAAGGGCGGCACTGCTTGGCATCAGCAGGGTTCCCTGAACATAAGAGGCCGAGCTTAGGCGTAGGACTTCGCAAGGTACCGGTGAGCCCCAGAAGACAAAAGGACGGCATGCAAAGCGTGACGCGGAGTCATCTGACAAGCAATGGCGTGTAGACGCACATCTTAGCAGGATTTAGCAGGTTTTGTGCAGTCTGGTCTTGTGCTTGTTCTGTGTTCGTTCTTCAATGGCTCTTCGGAGAATGATTTACACATTCAGAACACAACTATTGTAACGTCGCAATGAACCATTACATGAGCGAGCCCACTGCTTCTGCGACTTGTAATTGAGGCTTCGGGGTGGGATGTTCACAAGATCAAGTCTGTGCCCGCCACCAGCAAATGCTCGGTCGGGTCGTTCTGGCTCATCCCTGCTCAGCATGGGCACTTTGCGGGACAGAAACAATCAGGAACAGCCCCTCTGTTTTTGGGATGTTGCCGCTATACGGACAGAAAGGTCACTTGTAGGGAAAACTGAACCGTAAACACGCGAGTCAAGCGAAGGCAATGGGCCCGCCCAGTCATTTGAACCATGCAGACAGTAGGTTCATCTTTGCGGCTTCTTGCACTTATACAGAACACACTGGCATCACCTAATCCCACTAGATAACTTACGGGTCGAATCCTTGTGTGTGAAGCCAAGAATTGCCTGTCACGAGGTGGACGAAGAGTCGCCTTTGAACGATCCTGTGGCGAGTGCGTGCGCAATCGATGGGGAAAGCTTTGACGTTGAAAGGTGCAGAACTGGAGTCTAAAGACGAGAAGCTTTGGCTTGAAGGGGAGCTTGGCTTCAAGGGGTTGTGAGATTTTCAGCCTCAGAATTCAAGGGTTCGGTTTCTTTGAGATGCTGTCGGCTGTGAACGAGACGGTGAGCCCAAAACCCTGAAGTCTAATTTGAAGCTCAAGTGAGGGTCGACAACTTATAATCGGAGAGACCTGCGAAATTTCAGCTTTCAGTTCTGGAAGGGTGTATATATGTACCCAAAACATCAGCGAGGTCGAAGGCTACCTACCAAACACGCAAAGACCGAGGAATTCGGCAATCCCGATTGGAGTTCTGAAGAGCCACGAGCAACGGGCTAGTCAATGGCGGGCCGTTACAGTGGCGGCCTGAAATCTTAGAATAGGGTGTAGGGTATGGGGCTTTGGAACAGGGATTTGGCGTAAACCCTTCTCAAAAAGCCAGGGTGACCATAGGGGATAGGATTAAAACTATTATGAAAAAGCTATTGCTCAAAAGTGATTCAAACCTCTACATCAGCCCGACAACTACACAAAGCATGCGCCGGATGTACCGAGGAAGTAATCTTCCTCCTCTGGTTTCAAGTTCAGGGGGTGGAGGTTAAAAGATTCTAAGGACAACAGGGACCAGGACCCTCCTTGTACCCTCAAATAGGGGTATATGGTCCCAAATACGGGGCATCTATAGGGTCTAATAGAGGGTAGATGGAGGATCTAGGGATGGATCAGAGATTCTTACCCAAGCACGGTCCTGCTCAACTGTGCCTCCCCAAGTCCAGCAACAAGATTCGTATCATTCGTATCCACAGAACTTCGCTGAGCATGCCATAGCATGCCTTCACTTCAACATCGGAGGATAAGAAAACACAAGCACAAGCGAGTTTAGAATGAGCTCAAGTCCAGCCACATAGTCCACGCCTCTTCACGCGGATCCCGGCGTTCACGACCTATCAGATTGGTTGAGTCACTTGGTTAAGTCTACTCTGCACTTGGCATTCTGATCAGCACTGTGGGCCCCGGTTAAGAATCCATATAGACTACAACAGCAATGGTACCAGTCATGACACCGGGGATCCTGCTTGCAATGGTGAGAAAGATGCAGTTGCAGCCAGCAGCAGTAGCAGTTGTAGTCGTCGTCGTAGTAGTAGTAGTAGTAGTAGTAGTAGTAGTAGTAGTAGTAGCAGCAGTAGTAATAGTGTTAGTAGTAGAGTTAGTAGAGGTGACAGAGGCTGCTGCCGTGCCTGCTATATCTGATCTCAGTGTGTTGGTTCAGGGTGTGGTTCGTGAGAGGGGGTCGTTACCGTCACAGTTACTCTGGCTGCTTTGCCTGTCGGTTCTAGGAACGTTTGAGTTTTGAGCAAGAGTCCCTATTGCAAACATCGTCGGCATGGAAGCTGCGGCGTCAACACTCACAATACCTCAACCACTAGTATTAATATGGCGGCACAAAGGAGCCGTCATCACATTGGTGGCGACAGTAGAAGAACCGCTAGCAGGCGTGGTTGTGCAACATGGCGGCAGGGCTCAGTAGTGATGCTAGAAATAAGACTTGGCTCCCCGACGACGGTCGTCTTCACGGCCCCCTGGGTGTGGTGCGGCTGTGGGGCTTGCCAAGATGAGCTAGGTACTTTAAGGCCACTGAGGCATCGCACCTACGACTTGCGCAGTCCAGGGAGAGGGTTCGTCAAAAAGAGGCTTCGATTCGTGTTTGCAGAAAGAAAGCAGAAGCCCGGTTAACAAACTCGGTGTGAGGTTGATGCAGGTTCGCCAGAGTTGTCACCATCTGCGCCCACACAGCTATGTGACATGGTTTGCTTGTAGATCAACGAAGCACAAGTAGCGGACAGTATGTCGGCGGGGCATTCCTACGCACATGAGTCGAGAACATTACCTGCAAATTTCTCACAAGGGTTGGGCAGTAGGTGCACATTGGCGAAACGCAGCAGGCATGGAACGGATCTAGCGCAAACCCTGCCCTGCATTGACGAATATGCAAGCACCTATACTGTGCAGACACCTTGCCCGTATGCTCCAAAGTTCCAAAGCTTAGAGAGGTCGGGCTGAATGATGAATGTTGCCAGTTCGCATGCAATACCGGGAGAGTCGCTTGCAGACCCCTTAACCCTAAACGACTAGCAAACATCACCTTGCAACTTTAGGCTGCGGCTATCGCGGTCCCGGTCGCGATCGCGGTCTCCACCGCGTCGTTCGCCTGGCTGCTCAAACCCTCCTGCAAGGGGTCTAGTTCGAAACTAGACGATACTGTAATTGAAAAAGCATGAAGCTCAGCGTTGTATGGATGTCGTTTACCCAGAGGCTCCAAAGTAGCTCGTTTTTGGGATTACCTTATAGGATTCTAAATATGAACCCTAAAAAGGAACTACTTTTGGGCCCTTGGGTAGTGCCCAGTGTAGAAACGCCACAAAAAACGACCCGAAGCCGGAAGCCGATCTGGAAGGAACATTCCTAGACCCTCCATCTACCCTCTATTAGACCCTAGATGCCCCTTATTTGGAACCATATACCCCTATTTGAGGGTACAAGGAGGGTCCTGGTTTTCAACTTTTTTGTAGGAGGTTGAGTCAGGTAACGCTTGAACACACACACACACACACACATAATTGACGCACGGACAGGCCTAGCAAACTCCTGAATCTTAATTACATTGCCCATGAACCTCAGAGTGTCGGTGAGGAATCTCAGATATACAAAAGCCAGCCTGGACCCTGTTCTTCCAACTCTCAGTCTCATCCACACTCCGCGCCCTGCGCCAGAAGCCTCATCTCCCCCGCCAACCAACCATGCCGCATGCCCCAACCCCAAGCGCAGCATTTTCCACGGCAGGAACAATAAAAGTTCCCTGGGACTGCACCAGGGACTCCAAAACCCTATGACTATAAACAATAAGTGCCGTCAAGGTGTACTAAGCATCCCTCTAGCATCCCCCTAGAAATTCCGAGATATTTTTATTTAACGGATTCTTTGGAGTCGCTGTGTTGCTCACGCCTCGCATTTACGAGTGAGAGTCTACTTCGAGCTCTGCTCCAAGAGTAAGGGACACTTTGAGCTTCCTCCATGTGAAATGAAAGTTTGGGGTTTAGGGTCTTGTTTTTGGGGTTTAGGGTTCTTGGGTGGGCGGTTAAGATTGTAATGCTCAAGGTTTCGAGCGTAGAAGGTTCAGGCTAAGACGGTTTGGGGTAGCGGTACTTGACAGCGGTTTATTTGGATTGGCATATCAATGGAGCTCCTTCGCTAAAGTAGTGTCTCTGGGTGAGTTTGGTGTAGAAGTGAAGGTATTGAAGCTAGTTTGGTTTGTTTAGCAATGCCCGGAAGGGATCACAGCCGGTTTAATAGTGAATAGCAGGGCAACTCGTGCGGGGTGGGGTGTTTTCCCCGTGCATGCTGACGCCGTGGAGGTGAGCCGTGCACGCAGCTCAAAGTGCCCGAATCAATTATTCTGGCTGTCACCAGCCATAAAGGAACGTGCAAGTCAAGCTTAGGTCAATGTCGAATGCTTTCTTTCGTTCTACGTACATACATATATACACATGCATCTCACACACACACATATATATAGAGAGAGAGAGAGAGAGAGAGAGAGAGAGAGAGAGAGGGGGGGAGAGAGGGAGAGAGGGAGAGAGACTGTATAAACGAAACAACACAAACTCCTGCCGCATTCAGCCTCGCTTTGTGAATGCCTCTTGATGTTTAGCAGCCCGAAACGGAAGTGGCCGTAGGAAACCAAGGCCTAACGAACAGTACGGATTAGATCCACGAGGCACATATTTGTCTCTCCGCACTGGCAGCCAACGTGACTTTTGCAAAAGCTCTAGATGCTAAAACCTCCTAACTTTCCTGAAAAATCTCTAAGCCGCTAAACCCCTTTTTGCCACTGGACTCAAGTCTAGCATGTCGAGCCAGTCTGCGACCTACCGTAAATTTCCTAAATGCCTCAATGCCCTGAGCCCTTCTGACTTGACCCACTTACTTAGCCCTAGCCCGGAGCTGCGCTCAGCGATGGCCCAGAGAAGCAGGGTCCCGGTGGGGCGGAGCTCCCTGACAAGAAAGACTCGGGAGCAGGAGGAGCAGCAGCAGTACCACCAGCAGTCAGAAGCAGAAGCAGTAGTAGGAGCAGTAGTAGTAGCAGTAGTAGCAGTAGTAGTAGTAGTAGTAGTAGTAGTAGTCTGTAATAGTAGTCGTAGTGGTAGTGGTAGTGGTAGTGGCAGTGGCAGTTGCAGTGGCAGTGGCAGTAGCGGTGGCGGTGGCAGTGGCAGTGGCAGTGGCAGTGGCAGTGGTAGTAGTAGTCGTCGTCGTAGTAGTAGTAGTACCAGTAGTAGTAGTGGTGGTAGTGGTGTGGCAGTGGCAGTTGTAGTAGTAGTCGTAGTAGTCGTAGTAGTCGTAGTAGTCGTAGTAGTCGTAGTAGTCGTAGTAGTCGTGGCAGTAGTAGTAGTAGTAGTAGTAGTAGTAGTAGTAGTAATAATAGTAGTAGTAGTAGTAGTAGTAGTAGTAGTAGTAGTAGTAGTAGTAGTAGTGATAGTGATAGTAGTAGTAGTAGTAGTAGTAGTAGTAGTAGTAGTAGTAGTAGTAGTAGTAGTAGTAGTAGTAGTAGTAGTAGATGCTGTTGTTGTGGTAGTAGTAGTAGTAGTAGTAGTAGTAGTAGTAGTAGTAGTAGTAGTAGTAGTAGTAGTAGTAATAACAGTAGTAGTAGTAGTAGTAGTAGTAGTAGTAGTAGTAGTAGTAGTAGTAGTAGTAGTTTTTGTCACCCAAAAACTACTAGTAGTAGTAGTAGTAGTAGTAGCAGCAGCAGTAGCAGCAGTAGTAGCAGTAGTAGTAGTAGTAGTAGTAGTAGTAGTAGTAATAGTAGTAGAACGTAGTAGTCGTAGTAGTAGTAGTAGTAGTAGTAGTAGGAGGTCAGAGTCGTGTAGACACTGTAGCTGCTTTGTCAATAGTTACTGCTTCGGTGGAGCACCAGAAATGCCAGCAGTGTGACTGTCCCGACTGTCTTGCACCATGCTTCCATTCGTAACATGTAACAGCTGAAGAGCGTACGTAAGCGTCGAATCTACGGCAGCCACGCTTCCTTTAGAGGATTCCCTATACACTACCAATACGTTGCCGGGGGCATGAATACAAAATACAGCTATCAACAATCACGTGAGTTTGCAGTCAGCTGCATGCCATCCCATGCAGCCTCGGATTCTTCTTGGCCTGGCGGCCTCAACGAACGGCCATTGTGCGATTAAGACGTTCACTGCTGTTCTGGGTCTTTCAAGCATGGGATGCTTGGCGGGCCAAATCATTTCCGAATTTAAAGTGAACCACACATGCCGGGGGATGCTGGGTGCGGCTGCTCTCCTTGCACTTGCCTGGCTTTCATGACGACGGCTGCTGCTAGACTCCTAAATGCTGCACCGTACTGATTCTACACAGCCCCGCACTTGCAGCCAGTCCGAAGGACCTGACCTCCGATCTCTCCAGAACCCCTAACAGTAACCCTGTCGATGCGTCGCCCTACATTATACGAAAAGCTGCTCCTGCCTTTTTTTGATGCTCACACTCGCCTTTACGGTTTATAGGGTCGAAGATTCAGCGCCCAATCCAGGCCACCCAAGCCCAGTTCATACAAATAGTGCGAGCGAAACCCTGAACCCTGCTGCCTTGGCCCTACCTAAACCTTAAACCCGAAAGCTTGCACCCTTCATTCGAGATTTCAGACTTCGTTTGCCCCTCTGCGCCAGATGGAAGGACCCGTCCAACTTGCACTTAAAGGAACCCTAAAATACGTACTTAATTGGCAATGTTCAAGCCCCTATTTCATGCCCACCCAGTCCTCCAGACGTGAATATGGCACAGCCTTGAACCCTTGAGATTGAAGCCAATGATCCCAATTTCTACGGCCCGAAACTGAACCCTAAACACAAAGAGGCCTTAATAGGGTGGTGGGGTATATGAACCCTAAACCCTGCTAAATATAGGGCTATGATTGTATTGAGCAGCCTTCAGGACGAGTAGTGTTTCTATGAGATCTACAAGATAACAGCTAAACCCTGACCAACCTTCTCCTGGGCCATGCATCAGGCAGCCACCAGTGATCCCTGAGAACGCGCAATCTCTAGTTTGAGATGGGCGCTTGGGGTGTTTTTTAGTCTAAGGATGCGGATGTAGCACTGGAGGTTTTAGTTGCAGAACACATGTCAATATCTATGTCCTGTCAATTCGACGTGTTGTAGAAAACCTGCGCCAGTGCATACCACTACATTACGCATGGCATTGTTGCAGCCCTGAAGTGGGCATCTTGCGATGCGGTCACGTTCGATGATGCATCAGAACTTGTGCACCAATCTGGGGGCTTGCGAGTGTCATGTTGCCTGTGGTCAGAGATATGCAGGCCTAGCCATATCTCCAACTGGCACAACATGTACGCACTTGACCTCATGCCGTCTTGAGCTGCCTGACAGTGCCACTGACACCTACTCAGCATGGCTAACTTCGAGAGTTCAAAGTGTACTGAGTACCATTGCCGTTCCAAAGCGTCGAAAGACCGCTGATGTGGTGAGATGCTTCAGGCAACATAGGGGCACCTCTGCAACTGTTCATCAGCGAAATGGAGCACATCAGCCAGAGAAGACCCGCCCGTTTCAATCTCGCCCCGGCTATCTTCAGAATGCCTCCGAAGTTAAACTGTTGGCTTCCAATTCTATCATGCGTAACAAACACATACAATCCTCACAGCCAGTCAGAAGACCGTCAAGTCAATTACCTGCCTACCCTTGCAGTAGCAACTCAAACCAAATATGAAATCTTATAGAGCCTTTCAAAACCCACAGGCTACGCAACCCCTCCCCCGCTAGTGCTCATTATGTGGGTTACTTCAGCCAAGTCCTTGGATAGGGTGCTAGATACCCCGAAAAGGAGCTACCATGGGGCCTATGGGTAGGGAGATCCCACGTTGCCTGGTAAATAAACCACCTCCCCCCCTCCCAAACTCACAAAGAACAAACGATCAAACACACCCCTGGATACATGCCTCGCCGGCTCTGCTGGAGACTCCTGCCGATTGCGGCATATCTATGTCTGAAATTGGAACGGCTTGGTTGTAACACTTCAGGATTTGCCGAGACCGTCGGGTGCTGAATCGGCTAGAAACTTGACTTCCGGATGTAAACATTTGTGTATTCCATCCGCGGGCGGTACTACACCGGGGAGGCGTGG